TCGTACTACAAAACTATAGTAACAAAGACAGCATGGTACTGGCTTAAAAGCAGACACACAGACCAATGGAATGAAATAGAGATCCCAGCAATCAATTCATAAACCTACAGCCAACTGATCCACACCAAAGCCACCAAGAACATACATTGGGGAAAAGACTGCCTCTTTAGAAAATGATGCTGAAAAAATTGGACACCCTTATGTAGAAGAATCAAACTAGACCAGTACATGTCAGCATATATCAAAATCAACACAAAATGGATTAAAAAATTAAACATACATCCTGAAACTTTAAAACTCCTGAAGGATTTTTGTTCCGCCATTTTCTGCCATGTGAGACCCCTGCATTGCTCTAAAGCCATTGCCAAAGGAGACTCTCACCAGATGAGTTTTCTGGACTTTGGACTTCCCAACTTTCAAAACTGAAAGAGCTCATCTGGTCACTTTAGGTGGAAACAAGAGATGATATTTAGTCTTTCCCCTTTCCTGGGAATGAAGTACCTGAGTTCTCTTCCGACTTACCCTGAGTGGATTTTCATTAAGCTATTAATGATTCCTTGGTCTGGCCCCAACAATCGGTATCCATGTGGAAGATGAATAGCCTGGTGGCTCTGTACTCTAGGCTGCCCACCTACTAGTAATTGGATCCTGAGGGTGAAGGACAAACAAGCAATAACAGGTTCGAGGTTTTAGGGCCGACACAAAAGAAGACTCCTGAGAGCACCCAAGCCCTGCTGCGGGTTCGAGCGAGCAGCCCGAGACAACAAAGGCCAAGTAAATCAGCTGAGATGACACAGAAGCGGAGTGGAAGGCGCCGGACCGGCCCAACTCTGCGAGCTCTGTGAGTCACCCCCAGCCCAGCTTCACTTGCGTGGCGAAGCCCGAATGCTCCCCGCCTGCCTGGCTCCCGCCTACCACACCAGGCTAGGTGCCCACAACAGACCTGCCTCCATTTTCTTTGGTGGGGGCGGAGACGGCCGGCTTAGTGCAGGCAGGCCAGCCATCTCTGCTTGGTGTGGCTCCTCACTGAGACATGCCATTTGTTTACCTCGATGCGGGGCACCCCAGGGCCTGTGGACCAGCCTACAATCCCACTCTCCCCGCGGATATCTGATGGGGCTGGTAGCTTGGGGAGCCCCTGGCCAGCGTCGGGAGGGCAGGGAAGAGGAGCCTGCACAGATCGTCTCTCCACCACACCCTGGGCATCGGCCCCAGGTTAACTCCCTGCTTCCAGGAGGCAGATTCCATCTCTGGGGACCTCAGTTTGGAAGAATCCCTAACTGATTTCTGGTGGGGAGAGGGGAGCCCGGAGTGCTCTGGAGCTACATTGAAGTTACTGGAGAGCTCTCCCGGACGGCTGACCCGTGCTGGGGGGAGTCAAAGAGGAACTGTGTGCTGAGGGACCCTCCCCCGAGGAGTTCACTTCCGGCAGTGGGAGAGACTGGACACCTGCTGGGCAGGGTGAGGCAGGGCACAACTTTGATGTCTCAACTGAAAGACAAGGTTTGTAGAAGACATGCCTCAGCCCGGTTCTGAGAACAGAGTGGGGAGGGGTCCGGCAAAAGGAGGCAGAGTCTCAGAAATAAATAAAGAAAGAAAGAACAATAATTACACACCCTGTGGGAACCATTTGCAAGGTTCAATAGCCCCATCTAGTGTTCACAGAGTGTGAAAAAGCCCTGATAGCGAAGGGCAGAAAACACTTCTTATGAGAATTGAATCGGAGGTCCAAGAATCGAGAGAAAATCCCTGCCAAAATGAACAAACACCCAAAAAGAGATACCCTAAATGCAAAAAACCAAGAAAATACACCACCAAAAGTCAATAAATCTCAAACTCTAGATCCTATAGAACAAGAAGCCCTTGAAATGAATGACAGGGAATTTCGAGTGTTAATCCTAAAGAGACTGAACGAGATACAAGAAAACACAGCTAGACAACATGATGAAACCAGGAAAAACATACAGGACCTGAAAGAGGAAATGTACAAAGAAATCACTGTCATAAAAAAAAACGTAGCAGAACTTGCCGAACTGAAGAAGTTATTCAGCGAAATAAAAAACACAATGGAGAGTTTAACCAGCAGGATAACGGAAGTTGAAGAGAGAACCTCGGTTCTTGAAGATGGGCTCTTTGGAATAATACAAGCAGACAAGAAAAAAGAAAAAAGTATCAAAGATATTGAAGAAAATCTGAGAGAGATATTAGACAACCTTAAGCGCTCAAATATCCGAATCATGGGTATTCCAGAAGGGGAGGAAAAAGTACCTAACTTTAAACTATTCTACAAAGCTATAATAACCAAAACAGCATGGTACTGGTATAAAAACAGAGACACTGATCAACGCAATAGAATAGAGCACCCAGAAATCAACCCACGCTCTTACTGCCATTTGATCTTCGACAAAGGCATCAAGCCTATTCACTGGGGTTGGGACTGCCTTTTCAGCAAAGGCTGCTGTGATAACTGGATATCCATATGCAGGAGATTGAAACTAGATCCATACCTCTCACCATATACTAAAATCAACTCAAAATGGATTAAGGATTTAAATATACAC